ATAACAACGTGCTATCTTAGCTTAACATCACGTACTTTCAACTGTACGTTGTGTAGTTTTAAATGAGCAAATTGTATAATAAGCCTATTGTGACATTATAATGATATAACATCGTGCTATCGTAGCTTAGCATTACAAAATTTCAACTGTACGTCCTGTAGTTTCAAGTGAGCATCTTAGCTTAACACGTTGCATCGTGTTGTTATAAGTCAACAAATTGTATGGTAAACCTTTCGTTTCAATATAGTGGTGTAGCATCGTGTTATCTTAACTTAACATCATGTGCTTTCAACTGTGCATCATTGTGTTTTAAATCAACAGATTGCATGATAGACCAATCGTAATATCACAATGATATAACATCGTACTATCTCAGCTCAACATTTATTAATAACAAGTCAGCACCATACATTTTAGCTATTCATTTTATTTGTTATCATAGCTGTCGATGTGGATGACTGAGCAGTATCAATCTGCAAGCTAACATCATGCAACGTCAACTTTACATCATGTACTTTAAACCCAACATTACGTGTGTTTGGCATATCATCACAACAACGTGACTTATCATTATACTATCACGACTAAAGCACTTGTCATTGCAAGTCAACATTGCGCAAATTCAACTTAGCATATTGTAATTTAGAGTTAGCATTTTGGTGACTCAATTCAACATCACGTTGTCTTAACTTTACATTTTAAGCTTCAGCATAACGTTTTGTAAATCTCTAATATATGACAGCTGAGGCTTTCCATACATATTACAAGAATAGTCAGTTGAACTGTTGATTTAAAGGAATTTAACTTACTTTGTACTATGATAGATTGAATATGTTAGTTTACAATCCAGTGGCATATATCTAATACATAATTTGAACAAGAATAAATTGATCAATTATATAGGCAGGTTCTTTCGTTTTTTCATGTCGTAGGATTGCTGTCTCTTTGACGCATGCCCTGCATATTTTTTTATTCATATCTGTAAAATGGGACAACCCGGATGACCTTTTGACTGTCACTGTTAAAAAAAGGGTATTTTGGCTTGCAATAGGCTGCAAACGTATTTCTGTAAGAGTTGTTGCTAGGGATCTTTAACGTGCAGAAAGTAATACACTCACAACACGAAAGACCAGATCTAATTTCAACTGGGTATTCATTGGGGGTACAGGTATATCGTAATAGTAGGATACGCATTGTATACACCAATGAGTCAGCCACTCAACGGCGAACAACTAAAAGATATCTAGAAGTTAACATACGGTCAATTTGAATTGTTTTACATTTGTCATTTCGGGGCCTTTTATAGCTGACTATGCGGTATGGGTTTTACTCATTGTTGAAGGCCGTACGGTGACCTATAGTTGTTAATTTCTATGTGTTTTTGGTCTCTTGAGGAGGGTTGTTTCATTGGCAATCATACCACATCTTATTTTTATAAACAACAATAGACAACAATAGACAAGTGTCTGTGCAATATGAAAACGCCCGAGTCTAGAAAAAAGCTGTGAATGAATTAAACAGAAACGATTTATACCAAATAAAGAATTAAGAAATATTGGCCAAACAAGTAGAAAATGGGGTGATTAAATATAAAGAATAGAGAATATGTGGCAAAAATATGAAAAAAATATCGAAAAAGAACCCCAAAAAAATAAAGATTACAGAAATGAAGGACCCCCCCTCTTCCCCTCCAAACCCTTATAATAATAATAATTACTTATTGAAATTTAGCATACTTTTACTGTTTATAACTTTAACGATCTATTTCAAGTCCCATTGTTTCTAAACCACCTCAATTCAATGAGCTACTATAACAATCCAAATATAGATTTTTGTGAATTTGAAGTATTTAAACATGCATAAATTCATAACATTCATAACACTCGACAAGTTGATGGGAAAGGGATATACTACACTGGATACAGAGTTACGCATACAATCTGCGCAGATCTTCCCGTGACATTCTGATGGCAATAATCATGAGGCAAACAGCTATGTTGGTTTTCCTGTTTGAATTGTTTCACACTAGTTATTTTGGGGCCCTTTATAGCTTGCTGTTCGGTGAAAGCCAGGCTCCGTGTTGAAGGCCGAACTTTGACCTATATATAATTGTTTACTTTTTACACATTGTGACTTGGATGGAGTATTGTCTCATTGGCACTCATACCACATCTACTTATTTCTATATGATGGTTTCTACGTTAATCGGAAATTGATACAAATAAAGTGATTTACCGGTAATATATATATATGATTAACCCATGGATAAGCAGAAAGACAATCAAGAGAGAAGAAAAATATTATAATCGCCAGTACCAATCTGGATCAAAGACTATAATTATCTCACTTCTGGTTACCATTCAACCAACACTAGTCTCTTCTCTAACTTGCTATATTTTGTATACGAATATACTTTATCCCCATTATGCAAAATTACAGTTTTGTACCGAATACAAAAATGTCTGATATATTTATCTGTAAAGGCAAAACACAGAAAGGACAACTGACAACTGACAACTGACAACTGACAACTGACAACTGACAACTGACAACTGACTACTGACAACTGACTACTGACAACTGACAACTGACCCTATTACAGAAAACAAAAGTGTTTAAAACAATAATTTTATGCCAAAGACATTATATACTCGATTTTATTTTAACCAATACTTCTGGGTTATCTTTTTACTTTTTATATGCATTTTTTATCATTTGAGCAAGGCGAAATTAGTGACACAAATAATTCCGTATATTTACAATATTCATATATTAATGAAATTTGATGCTTTGTTTTCATTTTTTACGCGCTTTTTGTATTTCTTTGCTATCATGTATTACTAAACCGATGACAAAAAACATAATTTGATATTTTCTTGAGAGATGAAAATGTGTCATAGACGTAGACGGGCCTTTTTAAAAAATGTTCGTTTTTGACAACTGGAAAACGAAAAAAAAAATGTTGAGAAATAAATGATTCAATTGTACATGTCAATACTTTAACACGCAGTATAAACTAAATACAAAACATGAAACCTTAACTGAACGGTAAGTTTGACAACAACTCTGTAAAAGTGAACATGGTGTACCACAGTAGCAAGATGTCCCTTTCGCAACGATTTTTTTAAAGCTCTACCATGCTAAAAAAATAGAATTTCAAGGTATAATTTTTCTTCAAGAATCTGACAAATAAATGATTATATACGGTTTAACTATTTGATTTGCAATTCTAACTACTAGAAATATTACAAATCGTTTTTAAAATATTCAAAAGTGTCAACTGCGTAACGATATATGTCCCATATGAAACGAACCATTGTGTCCCCTATGAAACGATCTGTCCATTTCGCAACGGATTGTGTCCACTTCGCAATGAAATGTTGCATAGTGGACCGTTGCGCAGTGGACGTTTTTACATGTAAGCAGCCATTATTGTTACACGCCGTTTCTCAGATACATTATTTTATGATTATTGTCTTAAATAATACATTTCATGTCATAAACTCTACGTGTTTTATGATTTGAGGTCAACATTTCTTAAAAAAAAAATACGTTGCAAAGTGGACAGGTAAAAAGGTACACTATCAATAGGACTTGCCAATTGATTCAATGCAGACGAACTATATCATCAGCATCCATAGATCACCGCCATTTTACTAAAGGAAGTTGTATTAGTGACAAGTAAAAGGAAATACTACAGTTTGAATAAAAGAATGATTATAATTTTGCTAATTGTTTGTTGTCGTTGCGAAGTGGACATTTTTTCATGGACGCCACTTAAAAAGTTACTAGCACAAATCTATTTGAACTTATATAAATATTTGAATACTTTTTGTAATCTTCAGATATAGCTCTATGACACAACATTGAAAAAGGCACAAAAAAGATTGGTAAATTGAATGAAATTTTGAAAATTTGAATGAACTTTCAAATGTGTACAGAGCTTTTTTGCTGTTTTTGAGCCCTTTGGTGTGATAGTTTCAGAGAGTCCTTACTACAAAGCAGACAAAATGTGTTGTCGTTGTCTTTAATAAGTACAATTTATAGACTGAGACAAAAAAAAAATTAGGCCCTGGACAGAGAAAGTGGACATTTTTTTTTAAAACGCCCAGACAATACATTACCATTGTGTAGTTGTAAAATATATTTTTATTTGTTTCTTCACCTTTACATTCTTGGCCTAGATAAAGAAACATTTAAAATATAAAAAATAAATGACTTGACACATATAAATCATTAAGGTCATTTTTATATTATTTTTGTGCCTTTTTTATTTCTTGTTTGTCAAATTACAATGTATGTTATGGTACTGCAGGGGTGTGTGTTTACAATGATTTAGCGCGGACTTTTTATTGTCAGTTTATCATTTCAATTTTTTTTATTCCTTACAAATGTACAAGTCTAAAATGCTCATTGTCAACAATTAGATGGAAGGCGACCCTTGCAGTTGTTCATATTTGTGTAAAAAAGTTGAAATAACGTTATAGTATTTAGGGCATTCACTGTGACATGTATCGAATTTAGTTCTCATATCATTTCCAAACACGAAGAAGACGGACACTAAAATTCAGCTACACTCGGGAAGTCCTCCAATGGTAATTAAATATGATATACTAGATAATAAGTTTGATTTACTGGTCGTTATCTCTATATACAGTGACATGTAAATAAATACAAATTGTAAATAACTGTTGAGATGAGTATCTATTGAGATTAAAAACAAAATGTTGGAGGACAACGGTAAATTTAAATTTACAATCAGTAGTCTGTTACTGTGGACAGAAATAAGTGCTGTGATCGTAGTGCTGTAAATGTCGGTGCTTAGATTGTGACAGAAAAAATTGTAACTTTGAAATACAGCAAAAAGGGAACAATTGACTAAACTTCTAAATATTTGTGATTGGTGCTGTACATGTGGACTTAGATTGTGACCCTGGAATACAATAAAAAGGGAACAATTTTTAAGATTTTACAAAAAATTGTAAAATATTAAAGACACAATGGCACGTTCAAGAGATGAATTTAACGTTTGGGACTGGCTGCTGTTTGCTGCAATGTTGTCAGTTTCAGCAGCCATTGGAATATACTATGCTATACGAGGAGCGAAACAAAATTCAACAAAAGAATTCTTGATGGGAGGAAGACAGATGCTGTTGATACCAGTCGCTATATCTATACTGGTTTCTTTCATGTCCGCTATTCTTATCCTTGGAACACCAGCAGAAATGTACACACAGGGAACCCAGTATTTTGTTTACCTGTTCGGAATGATTTTGGCTGTTATTCTGGCCTCTCAACTGTTCGTACCTCTGCTTTATCCTCTAAACCTCACAAGTTCATTTGAGGTTAGTTTACTTGATCATTTCAATTATGTTCATAGCTCATTCAAATCATAACAAACATATTAATAGCCCACTGTTTAAAAAACAAAATATACTAAGGGCCGATCAAATATCTTATGTTTAAGAAAAACATGCAGTAATATTATGTCAAAAAGAATAACGATGAAAGAATTACAAAAGTCCAGTAGACTGAGCAATAAGAATGCCAACAAAACCACGGGTAATACCAGGTGCTTTAGGAGGGTAAGCACATCCTTCTCTTCTAGCGGCACCCGTTTTGTTTTAAGGTTTTGATTGCTTATAAGGAGACGGCTGAGAGCAAGCAGATATCGAATTCAGATTTACTTTCGGTTAAAAAGTTGTGTTTTTTTTGTTTTTTTTTTTTTGTCGAAAAGGAACTTGAAGAACGTTGTTGCTTTTTTTTCATTATCAATTTTTTATTTCAGTACCTCGAAAAACGTTTCGATTCGAAAGCGGCTAAGTTGACGGGAACAATTATGATGATCTTGCAACAGGTAAGGTTTTGTATGTAAATATTTCTCTAATTCTTTGGCAATTTAACGCTTTCTTGACAAGTTCGTGGAATGTGGAAGGCATTCGAAGGCGATTTTTGTTTATCAATTAAAAAAGAAAATTTATTTGATAAACATTAGAGAAACAGATTCTTACATAGTAACTCGTGTATTATCAGATTTATCAAATCTCGATAGATAAATTATCTCAACTGGATAAATCCGATAATCCACTGGTACCAATGGAAGAATCTATATATATATTATTATTTTTATATATAAATGTCATGAAAATAGGTTTCCGTTACCACTCATAATAAAGTAAATAGAGAAAATATAGCATGACAACCCTACTGAAATCACGATGAAGTATTGAAGAATCCTATAGGTGGCGGATCCGTGATTGTTTTAATGGGGGCGGAAGGAGCAAACGAGAAATGTAACCCGACAGTAAAAAATAAAAAAAATATTTTCTTTTCAAGAAACAAATGTCCGGCCATTATGGGTGCGCCTCCTGGATCCGCCGCTAGTTGGCTGTTGAGTATATATGCATGATAAAAAGTAAACTAAAGTTTATCATGTTCAGCAAAACATGTAGAGAGTATGTCACGTTACTTATGATAAAGTAGCTTTCCAAATGATACATTTTGTATATAAAGATTTATCTCTAGAAAAAAGGGGGGATATGCACATCATGAGTCACTATGACGTTGAAAAGGTCGTAACATCGTTGTGAGGGTATGCATAAGATTAAGTGAATAAAAAATAATGGGCACAAAGTACAGAATAAAGATAAAAAAAATATAAAGTATAGAGAAAAATAAGCCCTAAAATTTTAAAGAATACAGAAATGAAATAAAAGTTAAATAATAGACCCCCATGCAGACCCGCTTACATGTTTAGCCAGTATACCGAAATAAATAGTTCAAACACCATTAGTTAATCCACCATTTTCTACATAAGAAAATGCCTGTACCAAGTCAGGAATATGACAGTTGTTATCCATTCGGTTGATGTGTTTGGGCTTTGATTTTGTCATTTGCTAAGGGACTTTCCGTTTAGAGTTTTCCTCGGAGTTCGGTGTTTTTGTTATTTTACTTTTTTTTTTAAATACCGAGATTTTTAGTTTTATACGGTATATGTTAATTTTTTTTCTCAAGTTTCATTTTTTTGTCAAAAAAAAATACAGTTTACTGTAGAACATGAAAAGAATATAAAAGTTCGTAAAAAACGAAGAAAAAAAAGACAACACCAAGGCAATAATTTTTTTTGTTATGATTTATGGTGAAATGTATATTATACAAAGAATTATACCTTATTCCTAATTGTCTTTACTTTACTTATGATACTTTTCTGTTGACTTAACCGATTTTGCACGTTTTAAAATTATTTTTGTTGTGTAATATATTAAATATCAAGTGCATTCAGCTGTCAAACAGGTTGTAAAAATAATGCATACAAAGTTTATTGTATACTAAATAAAACAGCAAACAAAGTGCAGTAAAACGTTTACTTCTTGATACGTCTTGTTTCAGATATAATAAATACATTGTATAAGGTATAATACACTTTGAAAGGACAATCTGATTAAAATACGGATCCTAGGTCTAAGTTTTTCTTACAATTCTCTGAAAGCACTCTGGTAATGATTTATACGTCAGACATTTCAGCCTTCAACTTTTTAAATCCGACAAAATCCAAGGACCCAGAAAGGTCTTTGAAACAAGAAACCGATGTTAAGTGATTTTTGTATTAATTGATCATACTGTAACTTTTGTTTGTCTACTGAATGAATCAAGATTTAAAAGAGAGAGGTTTTTTAATATAGAATAAGAGAATATTTGATACCATGACCTGCTAGCAATGAACTGTGCAATCGGGTTCAAACCCGCCATTTTGCATATAAATTAAAACGTTAATACTAATTGTATCAGTTCACAGTTTCTGTGAAAAGTTTTGTAGACTACTTTGTCTGTTCGTCGTTTTTCGTTTTTCGCATGTTTTTTGTCTGTTTTTCTTCAACCGTTTTGATATTTGGACACTGTGGTGATGATAGTAGATCTCTTATATTTTCTTTTAAATTTATTCATCTATTTATTCTTTTGTTCGAGTTTTAAAATGTCTCTTAGGCTATTTGAAAATACAAAACAAAATATCTATTATCTCACGAGGGTCTATGAATTAAAAGATTCAATGTTTGCACTGCTTTGACGTCCAACGACTACCGTACGTAACAAATACGGAAAAGTTCATATGACGCCAGAGGGATCTCGAAAGAAATTTGGAGATGAATTTACAAATAAATCACTCGCTACTGGCTGTGAGAAACGTTCAAAAGCAATGCATTTTTCAGCTAAGGTACCGTTGCAGGGGTGAGTACACTGGAATTGCGCCGGATAGAATTATTGCTAGTATCAATTTTATACATACCATATGGTTTTCATCTGTAGGTCATCTATATGGGAATCGCATCGTTTGCTCCATCCACAGCATTGGAAGCTGGTAGGTCAATTTATCATATAATAAATCGTATGATATCCGCAAACTAAGATAAAACTATCAGATTAGATTAAAGCAAATTAACAAGTCGGGCTGAAATGAAAAGAAAAAAGATATACCGCAATATGAAATCGTAATACATTTTACAGTCAGTAACATTTATTTGAACACAAATTTATATTATGCATTTTTTACAAAAGACTACATGAAAATGACCAACAACAGACTATTTTTCGATATATAGTGATACATGTAATAGAAAATAAATAAATGAAGATGATGATGGGTGGCTGTTTAACGTCCATTGACAAATTAAATACATATTCATGACGAGAACATAATACTGAGTGGAATATGAATATCAACCCTGTTTTGTATTAAACCGACGCTAGAATTTTTAATGTGCTAGTTCGCAAAGTAGCAGTCCACAGAAAGACATGTCACCCTAACAGGACACAATATTCTGACCGAGTCGACCACATTTTGCTCTTACTCCTTAATCCCGCGTACTAAGCGGAGAAGGAGAAAATATCAATTTTAAAGACTTTGGTTTGACCCGGCCGGGGTTCGATCACACGACCTTCCTCACTCGAGGCGAACACAAGACCACTTAGTCTGTTAAAAAAAAGATAAAAAAAAGAAATAGAAATCCTCACCCAGTACGAAGATGAAATATATGATATGTCATTATTATTTGAATAACAAAACAGTCAATACTAATATTTCCAATATTGTATGCTAAGTCGCATTTCATTGGTGAGCGTTCTGGGGAACAAACCGTTTATACATATATACATAAGCATTTTCCATGATGTCATGAATTTGAATTCCTACTATTCCTGAAACAGTTCTGTAAATATTAATGTTGGAATCATGAGCAATAAAGGTTATTTTTACGGGGCTTATTGATGTGTTCGCTCATTTCCCTATATTCAGTTTGTAAGTGAGTCGGCAGAGTTAATACACCAATAAAATCCTTCAAAATAAACTTTGTTACTATAATAACATGATTGAATGCTTTATCCCAGAACTCGAATTCCTACACTCCTAGAATTAAACATTAATTTCCTTTATGGAGACCAATTCTTCATTAAAAATAATAATTAAGTGGAATTTTGTTAAGCATATATATATTGTTGGTGTGTGCCATCTTATTGATGTTGCTCGTGTTTTCTTTTGATAAATAAGACACAACTCACATTATTCCGAATAATTTAGCGAGAAACGTGATGCTATATTTTGTTTAATTAACAGTAACAGGATTTCCAACTTGGGCAACCATTGTTACAGTTGGTCTTGTATCTACATTGTACACTTTTTTGGTAAGTTTGCTTCAAAACTTGTATTATCTGTAGTTAGGCTATTTATCAACTAATATTCATAAGTTCACATAATCGAATTGTTTCGCGACAGGAGAACAAAATATGATACGGTCTGTTCATCGACCGATATATACTGAATGACTTTAAAAACGCAACACTAATTTTGTTGATTATTTTTCCCACATCATGTTTGATTCTCATACAACTACTATTTATGCTTACCATACTTCTTTCTCTTAAGAAAAAAATCAACATCTGACTTACCTGTGGTTATTGAACATACCGGATTATTGAAGTCGCACGAATTTCTTAAAGCGAAATTTGGAACCCACAAAAGATTTTTTCAGTTTGTTTTGCTTCGTGAAACAGTTCTTTCAATCCTTTGCCACACTCAAATCAGTTCAAAAATGTTGCATCTCCATATTGCCAAGACTGAGGAATAAAAAACTGAATCAGCCCATAAGAATACTGCAAACAGGAAAACGTGAACGTGCTGCAACCATACAGTTTGACTTAAGAAACTCGTCTTACTGTCCTTCCGACAACGATACAGGTAGACGGGATTTGTTGCTGACCATCAATGACCAGATCAACATGTAGTGACAATGCAACGTCAATAGAATTTGATTACGCAACGTCATTTGCGAGACATGTTTACGGCCGCAACGTCAACTGCTTATCAAATTGAAGAATGCCATTGCGCACAGATTCATGCCATAAACGTTTCCCATAAACTGAACTGCCAAAGAATCGACTGAAGAAAAAACATTTAAAGCCCTGAAGTTTCAACCGCTTAATTTCCAAAACCTATTGTAATGGGTGGAACAAACGCATATTCAGAAGGTGAAAAGCAGAATCCAAAACATGTGGAACAGAATTGGTTGATCTTTCTGACAATCATTTTGGCGTTTGTTACAGGCAGTCATTGCTTTTGATGGTGCCACATTTATTCAAAAATTTAAAAAGAATAATCGAAAATATCTTGAATGTAAAATAAAAAATTAAACTGCATTGCAACTATCTTTACTAATTTGAAATCAAAAACCTTCCCTTGAACATTTTAATATTTCGTTAATAGAATTGTTGCATTGCTTACATTTTGTACCCAATCATAATGAAGTTATGTTTACATTTCAAGGGTGGAATGAAAGCTGTTGTATGGACAGATGTATTCCAGTCATTAGTTATGATAGCCGGATTACTAGCCATTGTAATTCAGGTAGGGATTAGTTCTTATTGGTGCCGTGACCATGAAAGTAGTTCCAATGCATAAAAAGGCTTAGGATGCGGTTCTGTAGAAGAAGAAAAAACACACATCTTCACTACTTCAAAAACTTAAATATACATTTATGTCTGTATAAATGATTAACCATTACATATGCTATACATTATTATTGCATCAACGTCAGAAAAATGTTAACAAAGATTATATCGTCGTAGCTAGAAAAATACATTTACTCTGTAAAAATACTTAAGTGAATCGTATATCCTTTTTAATGGCAATACCTTTTAATTTGAGAACTAGTTTAATTTTAAGTACGCTTCATTTGGACCAATGATCACCATGGTTTTGTCGTGCTTGGCTGATAAAATTTAGAAGGTTTCATCCTTTGTCTTGATAGATTTTTGTCTGGAGTCAGTACAGTCCATATACAGACATATAAAGGACAAATATAAAATTACAATGGCAAATTCCATTGATCTTAAAGACTTTTTACAGAAGTGATTAACATTACGTACGAGTAAACAGAGATATGGGCTACACCTCGACGAGATAGCAACCTAGTTAAGAACTCTTTTCAACCTCGTGACCACGAAAATAATTAAATATTCATTCATTTAGTGTAGTCTCCTTATCGTCCAGTTGCAATTATTTCATGCATATTAAGGACAATTAACATTAATCCAATGTTAAGAAGAACAAATAAACAATATTATAAGACTAACAGGGAAAGGAGCAGAAATGTGGCCTTGCAGCAGACCACTCACGGGTACACCAACAGAGTTTTTGCAAGGGTGTTTTAACGTGCAGATACTGTTTCACTCTTAAAAAGATTTTATTTTATATCAAAAAGACAAGTTCTGAAAGAAATAGCTATTTTTTGTGTAGAAGTTGGTTGTAATTGTATAAGATTTGTAACAAACTGGATAGCACATCCTTATTTATACGGCGACATTGTTTACAGAGCACGTAGATACGATCCAGGTAAACGTATTGATCCTTTAAATAAACTTTTTCTAAAAGGTTATAAAGTAATAAGATCTTTCAAGATTGTTTTTATCGGTATGAATATTGATTTTGTTATCAATAAATTAAAACCCAACTAAATATTATTGTTATACACATATGTATATCCAGGAACCTACAATCTGCCGATATCTATATTTTACCATTGTACAATGTCATGTTTTTCTCTTACTGTTAATCACGTCTTTACACTAAATCCATTGAATGTTGGATGTGTTCTGATTGATATTTTAGTGTTAGATACATGTTTTTTTATTAGTTGTTATTGTCTTTGAACTAGCTTTCAATAACTGTGAGTACTCTCAGATCCATACTTTGTGTCTGTTGTGTTTGTGTTAGTTGTTAGTGGCTTTGAACTAGCTTTCAATAACTGTGAGTAATCTCAGATCCATACTTTGTGTCTGTTGTGTTTGTGTTAGTTGATAGTGGCTTTGAACTAGCTTTCAATAACTGTGAGTACTCTCAGATCCATACTTTGTGTCTTTTGTGTTCATGTTAGTTGTTATTTGCTTTGAACTAGCTTTCAGTAATTGCGAGTACTCTCAGATCCATACTTTGTGTCTTTTGTGTTAATGTATCTACATTGTACACTTTTTTGGTAAGTTTGCTTCAAGACTTGTATTATCTGTAGTTAGGCTATTTATCAACTAATATTCATAAGTTCACATAATCGAATTGTTTCGCGACAGGAGAACAAAATATGATACGGTCTGTTCATCGACCGATATATACTGAATGACTTTAAAAACGCAACACTAATTTTGTTGATTATTTTTCCCACATCATGTTTGATTCTCATTTGCGAGTACTCTCAGATCTGTATTTTGTGTCTTTTGTGTTGTTGTAAGAATTTCTTTGTGCTTTGTATCGATCTGATGAGCTAAACTCCTTTCAACTGATTTTTATAGTTTGTTCTTATGTTGTACTGTTACACCACTGTCCCATGTTAGTGGAATGGTCTGACGCCAGAAAACATGAATTCCCCGCCACATTTTATATGTGCCTGTACCAAGTCAGGAGCCTCTGTAATTCCGTGGTTGTCGTTTGATGCTGTATATAATATTTGTTTTTCGTTTATTGTTTTATACATGAATCGGACCGTTAGTTTTCTCATTTGAATTGTTTTACATTTGTCATTTCGGGGTCTTTTATAGCTTACTAAGTAGTATGAATTTTGCTCATCATTGAAGGTCTTATTTGTATATAATACATTTTGTATTAGAAATACATGTTCTGAAGAAAATAAATGTTTTATATTAGAAAGACAAATTTTGAAAAAAAAATTGTTTATACAACATTCTTATGTGTCTGTCCTGAGTCAGGAGCCTAATATTCAGTGATTATCGTTTGTTGCTGTATATCAAATTTGTTTATAGTTTGTTGTTCATAAATAAGGCTTATTGGTTTTCTCGTTTGACTTTTTATATTTTTTTATGTTGGAGCCTATTATAGGTAGCTATGCGATGTGGGTTTTGCTCATCGTTGAAGGCCGTACGGCGACCTGGAATTGACAATATCTACGTTAATTTGGTCTCTGGTGGACAGTTGTCTCATTGGCTATCATACCACGTCTCCTTATTTTATATGTATGTCAGCAATAAAAATTCTGAAAAAGACTTTGTTTATATAAGAAAGACAAATTCTGAATAATGAATAAGATAAATTCTAAAGATGAATTGTTTTGTATCAGAAATAAAGACAAATTCTAAAATTGTTTCATATAAAGAAAATGAATATTAAAATGAATTGTTTTGTACCTATAGGGTGTGATAGAAGTCGGAAGCATGAGTGACGTGTGGGCAATCAACGACAAGTGGGGGCGTATCGATTTCTTTGAGTAAGTGTTGACAATTTATGAAATACGAATTTGTTAGGAGCAGAAAAAAAACTTGGCATGATGAAGTGACTTTCTAGATGCGCAGGAATACACTGGTTGAACTCACTGGTAATAACATTAAACAGTAATCATGGTATTGCACCAGATGCACATTTCGACAATTAAGATGTCTTCACTAATGTTAAGTGTACTCCTTAAAGGCGCGTGAAATTAATATTTTTTAGTCAACATAAACCGAAAGTTCTCTATTATTTTAAAAAGAAATTATTTCATGCATATATATTTTGCTTTAATTTTTTAAACTTTAGGTTTATTATTTAGATTATATAATTTATTATTATTACTATTTGACAGCTTTAATCCTGATCCCACTCAGCGCCATTCCTTCTGGTCATTAATTGTTGGTGGTATGGTAGGTTGGACAGCGACATATGGTGTGAATCAGGCCAGTGTCCAGAGATACTGTTCAGTACCAACACTTAGAAAAGCTAAGCTGTATGTTTTAATATTTTTTGTTTGGTGTGAAACAAAGTTCGTGGTCAGATGTATTGCTCACTGTCTATATATGGAAAGGATAAGCTGCATGTTTAAAAAGTAAAATAACAAAAATACCGAACTCCAATGAAATTTCAAAACCGAAAGTTCTTTATCAAATGGCAAAATCTAAAGCTCAACCAAATCAAACGAATGGAAAACCACTAGCATATTCCTGACATGGTACAGGCATTTTATTGTGTAGAAAATGGTGGATTAAACCTGGTTTTATAGCTAGCTAAACCTCTCACTTGTATGACAATCGCATATAATTCCTTTATATTGACAACAAGTGTGAGCAAAACAAACAGACATAATAGGTAAACATGTAAAAAATTAGGGTACAGCAGTCAACATTGTGTTATAATCTTAATCACTAAAAAACAAATAACTATTTCAACAAAGCAAAACAAAATAGCATATAAACACTATATAGACAAAGTACATAAGCAAAAATGAAAGACAAGAATACAAAAATGACCATAGCATAATGACACAATGGCGGGATGTATAAATACCGAGCCATACCAAAAGTATACTACCAAAAATGGATTAAACAGTAAAAGTTAAAAATATACAAAGACATAAAAAGAACACTATAACACGTAATTAAGATGATGAACAACGTTAGTACCTAGAATCTATACTTCAAGACCATCATACATTATTTGTGAAGTTGATACGGAATATTTATCAACAAGGTCTTGGTATCTTCCGATGAACTTTTTTAGAAAAAGGACGAGACGTACGACGTTCTTTGACATAACCCTGGTTCATCAACTTTCTGCTCAGACACTGTAATAGTGTTTACTTCAACTTGGTGTGTCGGAGGCCAATGTACAGAGAAACTTTCATTACATTTACTTTGACAAGCTAAACCGTATGTTCACAAGCTATTGGTTCTTCATATAAAACAGATAACATAGATCAAAATCTATTGTGCAAGATTGCAAAATCTCATTGTATTGCAATGGCAATCGAAATGTCAAACAAAAATCCGCTGTACACGAAAGCAAAAACAATTGTTTTGAATGGCAATTGGGAACACAGATCCTATTGTATCTACCTTAATGATAGACGGTAATAAGACCAAAGTATTTCCTGAACGACATTTGTCAACATATGGAAATTGATAACTTCAGTAGTATACTCTGTTGTATCCTCAATATAATTTTGCATAATGACAAACTTCCAGGAACAATCAAAAACCGGAAGTCGAAAAAAAAAGACAGACATAACAAAAAAAGAAAAAAAGAAAAAAAGAAAAACAACAGGAACCCAATCAAACCCACGTTAATTTAAGGTGCTCTTGAAGGGTAGCAGTTACCGCTTCACTAATAGAACTCCAAACTTCTATATAGATGTATGTATTTCAGTAGTCTCCCTTTTTCCTATTTTCAGCGCTGTGTTGTTAAACATCCTTGGTGTTGTTATACTATTGGTTATAACGTGTTTAGCAGGAATAGTTGTATTTGCATATTATAATGGAGTGATTGGTTGTGATCCATTAGCCAACGGAGACGTAGGCAACGAAAATCAGGTTAGCAAAAGATTTGTACAAGCATGTCCAATAATTAACAAAAATGGTAAAAATCACGTGATATTAATTTGTGGTATCAAAGAAAATAATTTAAACAAGCTGACTGTATAAATAATACAAGTTAAAAGATTTTTATCAATAGATATGAACACAAACTATCAAATTCAAACTGAAACCACAAAACAAGACAACTCACAGGCACGAAAAAAATGAAAAAAAAGTTTGCAGAGCCATGTATACGTTTTAACAGAATAATGATCATGAATGTTCAATTAATGAAATTGAATACATGTATATAATCGTTAATTTCATATACAGTACATTGTGTAGAAATCTTCGATTAAACGATTGAAATTGTCTTTACGGTGGAAAAACGATTGTATAACCTGTCATTATTTCAGATCATACCACTTTTTGTCATGAAAACATTGGCATATCCAGGGTTACCCGGCCTATTTGTTTCATGTTTGTTCAGTGGAGCACTTAGGTAAGCAATTTGACAAAAGAAGGGTAACTCAATAGCCGCTGATTTTTTCTCCTTTCGCTGATTTGCCACTATTGTTCAACATTGAAACAGTGAAGAACTATTGGTTGCTAACGATATCGACGTTAAACACAAATTCTAATGCAATTCGTTTAGAACGATAATTTTCATTGGACGTTGAAAACTATTTTGAAGGGTAAGGTTTCACGTTCTACCAGTCCGTAACTACGGAAAGCCACCATTTTGAATTCCATTTTTTTTTTATTTGTAATTTCTCATAAAATAAGCAAAATAGTCACATTTTGAACCTCATAATCTTCTTTTTGTCAATATTAAAACCATTCAAAGTACGAAAAGTATAAATACGTCTAATGTTTATATTTAACATCAGGAGTATACCTATGGTGTCACATTGGTTAGATGCCAAAGACGATGTAACAGTTTCGCGGACGTTTTCGTTTCAGGCACTTTTAAGCCAAAATATTTGCTAAAATGGAATTATTTTTAATGTGTGGAATAAGAATGGAGATAGCTGTAATGTATTTAAAACTTGGTCTTCATAAAACTTGATTTTACAGCTGCAAATATCCGTTTGCCTAGCTCCGCTACGCGTCGCTAGGTAAACTCAATTTGAGAAAGATTTGTAAAAGCAAATTTGCTTGTTTCTGAATCAAAATATTTTATTTCAATTGTATTATATCGTTATGTGATCATTTATCTGAAAAAATATTGTTTAAGGTAGATCATAGGTATATGTTTCGCGAGATAGAATTGTCGTATACTTAGCCATAATGAAGACTTTACTATGCTCTTATCAAAAATATAATAAAAAGGATGGGTCACCGTGCTATTGTTTAAGCTATGAGTCGTTGAAAATTGCCTAAATTTGCTTAGAATGATCATGAAAAAACACATTTTTGTGCATAAAAAGAAATCTATGAGATAGCATTTTGAAATAAATTGTGAGAAGATAGGCTTTATAATATGTTTTCAGAAGATAAAAAGAAAAAATGGTGTCACCGAACTTGTTTTCTTGCTACAAGTAAAAATAAAAAGTTTCCCTATCATTCCAGTATAAATTTTTTACTAAAAAAGTTATTTCCCCTTAGATGGCATAGTTGAAAAAAAATGATTCTAAAACACAAATGTTTAGTATTTGTTTAAATATTTTGATTAATGCAATAAATTAGCAAGTTTTCTTCATATAAATAAACAGTCTAACCAATAAAATTGCACATCTGTCTACAAATTCGCAGATTTGGGCAAATAACTAGACTGATTGTGTACTTAAACTAAACTCAATATCCGACAATAAAATCTACGTTTTACTAAGGCCAAGCGTAAAATACAATACAGTTATCTCCTAAATAGCTTACATTTACTAACGTGTTATTATAATTCAATTTTGCATAAAACACGTCTTATGCTTGGCTTAAAGCTTTTTGTCTATCAGCTCATAGACATAATTTTGTCATTTGACCGTGACGTCATCAACGTCTTTTCAGATTTACTCCTTCAAAAATGGAATTTAGAATTAAATCATAAGGACATATTTTACTGGTATTCGAAATAACCTCAAAAATGATGTGCACACTTTTAAATAACACGTTACATTTTTTATTTTATTTCTTCATAGACAGAAAAAATATTACAGTCATTCCTTAAATACATTACCTGTTTACAGTGATAACTGAACATTTTATCCGTATAATTATAAAAGAATTATAGATGGTATGACTGCCAATGAGAAAACTATCCACCGTTGACAAATGACGTAGATGTTAGCACAAATAGGCCACCGTACTGCTCTCAGCTATGTGCAAAACCCATAGGCAATAAAACATAGCAAGCAATACCACAACCCTTAAATTAAAGGCTCCTGAGTCATGTTATGCAGTAGATTCATTAAAGAATATTTTGTACGATTTTCAATGTAATTATACATGTTTTCGGTTATACTGAATTCCGAATCAAGTTTCACTGTATTTCTAAACAAGACATCATATGGAGGCGAAGCTGTCACAGTGTGTTGCATATATCATTCAAACTGAAACAAGGCTTCATCGGCAATGATACTGCTACAATACTTATTACTCCTATTACATTCTAACTGTGTCCATGGTGATTCACACGTGTATTATGACTGAACATGGTTATAGCTAAAAGTTTGAACTTCAAGAATTTTAAAATAACATTTATATAAAAATTATCGAGAAATTTAACAAAATGCGTAAAAATACCAATGAAAGTTCATCACCCAAGTACAAAATCAAGGTGTGTTGTTTCACCGCAAGCTTTTCATTCTCATGGTAACAGTTCATATTGTTTGTAATTGATTCACATATGTTTAATCATTCTCAGCATGTAGAGCAGGATCGGCTTATTCTTCCAGAGCACCTGAAATAATCCCAGGTTTTTGAACGGGTTCGTGTTGCACAGTCTTTAGTTTTGTATGTAGTGTTTTGTATACACATAGGCTAGCATGTCTTTTCGTCGTTTTTCTTTTTTATGCTGTGGTATTGTCGGATTTTCTTCGGCTTATCATATTTGGTTATCCGTTTGCTATATTAAGCCTCGTTTTCACAATCAATCAAGAGTACTATCTGTACTCATGTTGATCTCAAATATAACACTGGACGTTCAATGATATTTAACTCATTGTATTGTCCATTATTGCAAACAAGAAAAATAGTAAAATAAAGAACGGTAAAGGGATCATTTACTGTAACAGCTTACCTCTCAGTCTTCAACAGTGAAAAAAAAATCAACTGCTAAATAAATGTAAATTCCATTACGTGAACACAATGAAATTGATGAAAAGTATTCAGTACTTGAAAAGGATTATCTTATCCTACATTATTTCTGTGATTAAAAATTTAAAACGAACCTTTTCGTTAGATATCAATAATTGCAGCTTATGACATTTTTTTCTATCTTTTTAAGTACCATGTCCTCGTGTTTAAACAGTTTAGCTGCAGTCACTTGGGAAGATATTTTAAAACCATTTTGGGGAAATATCTCAGAAGATAAGAAAATTTGGGTGACAAGAATATTAGGTATGTATGATGTGGAAAAAGGTCCTTTATTTTTCATATCAAATGTATGTTAAATTGTTCATATAACAAGCATCTGTAATGCAAAGAAGTGTAATTGAAATATGTTGTTGAAAATGAATTATTTAGAAATACAGGTAAAGCTTAGGACATATTTAATTATAAGATACATTGAAATGGTAAAAGTCCGAGAGGTTATCAAATATCAAAGATCCGAGTAATTACGATCGGTACAATCTTTAGAAACAAATTTAATACTCTCATATACATTTTAGAACATTTCAGTTATTTTTATGTACATTTAGAATACTGTTAATGAAAAGTATACACAACCTAAATGAATACACTTTATCCAATTTGATAGTGGTGTTTTATGGAGGATGTGGTATTGGTATGGCTTTCATGGCAATGAATCTGGGAGGAACTGTATTACAGGTAGTTTATATTGTATTTAAAAAACTATTCGTCCTTTCATCCGTCTGTCCCACATATGGTTCTTGGATTGTCCAGCTAACTCCTCATCCAGTTTCAACTTTTATATTATACAGAGTGTCAGTACTTAACTATACCAAATGTTAGCATATTATCGGGATTTTATATTTTCAACAAAATGAAGGATGACGGGCTTTGTATTTTTTGGTTGAAAATACCCTTATAGTGATGATATACGGGTTGTAAATGCTAATTTGTCGTACGGTAGCTTTAACTTAATTTTCACACAGGGTGTTAATACGCTAGCAGTTAGTACATATACTAAAGTATAGAAGCTGGTAAGTGTCAAGGGTTAGTGTTGTGTACGACTTGACTAACTCATGATCACAACTAAGCTTTATACGACCAAGATAACTCGTTATTGTTCAGTCGCTCAAGAGAAATGCTATATTACTTATGGAATACAGCTTGTATACAACAGGTACCACGTAGTTCCATCGTTTCAGCTACGACATGTACAGATAATGAAAACATTTTGAGGGTTTATTACATTCTATCCTGTGGTCCCTTTATCTAACATAACATAAGGCAGTAGATTTAAGAATTATTCACAAGTAGTAGCTCAGGAGAAAATGTTACAGAATAGCTGTTGAATATGGCTAACTAATTGCATTATAGTAATATGAGAGGTGGAATGTGTCCCTGCTATGCAGAGTGCGTAATACAGTACCAAATGGATTAAGAATAATTATATATATTTTGGTTTTGGTCTATATTTTATTTCAGGCTTCACTGAGTTTTACCGGAGCTGCCTCTGGTCCTTTATTAGGAATATTTGTTCTAGGAGCCTTCTTTCCATGGGCCAACTGGATCGTGAGTATTTAATGGTTAAACGTTTTTGTAAGTATATATTGGATATAACAGCAACCCAATGATACACAAAGCATCAGAGGTCGTTCTTGGTATGAAATATCTATTCCCTATAACCGCAGGGGTGAGCCTGTACATCGTGGCACTAGGCATGCAAGTAACATGCATGCAACTGAAAACGTTTTTCATCTTAATGGGTTTATAAATACTAAGACCATATATCAAGCCGACTTTTGGTGGATAAATAATTAACAAGTAAGTTACGCATTGCACAGTTTGTTTAATCTGATAAAAACCTTTTAAAAGAACAAAATATGAGACAGATGTGTATAACAATTCAGTCAATCTTAAAAATGAGGAAACCAGCGAATTACTTAACGTTATCTGTATTATGATGGTATACGTATTGCATAATAACAAAATAAAAAAACATAAAACCAAAGGTTTAAAAATGCTTCAATACAACTTTTGAAATTTGGATCTCAAGAACGTGCACAGTCATGTAAATTGACATTATTTTCAGTTAAATTAAGATACAGTTATGTTTGTGTCCATCATCTAGATCTTGTACTGAAGTGGGTTTTGGCAACCGATTCTTTCTGTATTACTTCTCAATATGAGGCAGACGTTAATTTTTAAAAATAATTTTACTATTGCAGGGAGCAGTTATTGGGAGTATTTTAGGTTTTGTTCTCCCAATGTGGATCAGTATAGGTGCCTACAGCGTTGGCGGAAAAACGAATCTCCCGACAAACACGTCACTGTGTTATATTTACAACCAAATAGACAACAGCACGAGCTCATACGTCACTTCCACCGAAATGACTACTACCGTGATGTCAGATGAATCGTAGGTTTTATATAGTGTTATGAAATGAATAGTAGATTTCTATTTTTTCTTAAATCTATTTTGTTTTATTCTCGCCGAAAACAGAGGGGGGAAATTCAGAGGGATAATAAAAAAAACCATCGCCAAAAATAAAAACGATGATAAGTCAATAGAAACGATTTAGGAATACAAAACAAAGTGAAAAAGTATCGTGATAATTAGTTTACAAATAAACAATGTATTAGATATACTTCTCTTTTCATAAATGATGTCACCAGAACACGGTTTAAATACATCGGTTTATAGATACTGATCCATTTTAAGGTATAATTATTCACGCGAAAGGAGTTTGCTCTGTAATTAGAAAAAAACCACTAATATCAGACATTACGGCAATAAAACTTCTTCCAAGGGATGCCAGTCTCAATGTTCGTGATGTATAAATACGCAGTCGCGCTTGATCTGATTGTTGAGATGAAACTAAAGGCACGTATGGCAATATTTCATACTTTTCCTCGTTATGAGATACGTTTCTATGTGTTCCCTAAGTACCTGGTTGTAAGAATGACACCTTGACCTCACGTTTTAAAGTCTGATACGAACGTCACGGACGAAATTATATTGTAAACTTCTCATCGTCCTAAAAGTGCATTAAATATTCATTACTGCGCGTAAGCCTTTCTGTTTTTATCTATTATTTCAGAAAGTGTTGTTGTTTTTAAGTGTATAAGTTAACATTTTATTATTAGATTCTAAAAAAAAACTATTCCTTAACATTCGTCGCAATTATAAGCAAATTAGAAAAAAATCCAACAACATTTAAATCGATGCACGACAAGAGATGTTTGGTAAGAATGTTCTTATCGTGCTATTTCCATGATATACCAATTAATTCCTACCTTAACTACGTGTAAGATAAATTACAATCTTTGGTGTCAGTAAATCAAGACTTTAGTTTGTCTAGTCTGAAAATGCCTGTACCAAGTCAGGAACATGACAATTTAGTGCATTTTTAAAGTATTTTTTTAAAAGTTACCATCATATCCACAGTTGGCATGTCGTAACTAATGAGTTACGCGCCATTTCGAATTGCTAGGATCAAAAAATGTTTGATTATTACTATATTATCGAATTTTTATGAAGTCATGTTCAGTCATAAATCATGAAGTTTCGCGATTTTTTTTCTATTTCAAATTTGTACATTTTTTGAAGCTCTAACATAGTATTTCTTCATGTAATGCAATAGAATCGGCATAACAGCACCGTAGCTGGAGAGTTGCCCCTGCCATTTTTCATCTGACGGTCGCAAATATCCGTTTATCGTCTCCTGCAAAACTGCATTTACGACCGTCAAATCGATAATTAACGGAGGCAACTCTTGAACTTCAGTACTATTTTGGTTTGGTTTTGTCAGTTATTATGAACTTCCCATTTTTTAATTTACCTTGGATTCTGACATTTTCTACTGACTTGATTGAAATTTGTTTCAAAAACGGATTTTCGTTTTCATTTCTTAGGTCAGGCATATCAGATTTATACAAAGTATCATATTTATGGTATCCGTCGATAGGAGCTGCCACTGTTGTTGTCGTAGGGATGATAGTCAGCGCAGTCACGGGTGTGTATTTGTACATTGATGCTGTTAGATCCAAATAAAGGTGTAATACCACCAAATCATAGTACGTCACATCCGGTTGCATACGAAAATAGGTCGAAAAAAAATATTCCCTTAAATTTGACAGTTGCAGGTAATTGATCCTACATTTCATTGCAGTAAAACATTTCTGGGTCATAAACATATATCTTGGGTATTTCAAAGCACCATTATTTTTTTATTTGGGGTTTCTATAGAATATTTTGGAAACTTGAGGTTACATGGTTACTAAAGCTTGTACACAGGTTAAAAAAGGGGGAACATTTGATTGGTTAACTTCCAGTGATGGTTACTTTCTTATATGCAATGAAATGTTATGTGAAATTTTTTCTATAGTACTGGACAGGATAAAACTTTACTCATGCCAAGTATTTCTTTATTTGAAACAAAGATAAATTCTGCACATTTTTTTGAAAAGTGCAAATTTAACAAAGACTAATAGGGGAAAATCAATGGTGGTATTAATTACACCTAATATGGGAAGCTGTACATGCACCTTTGACCTTGTGAGTATTCTCATGTGTTAAAATTTCTTGCTATTTAAGTGAAATATTACAAATAATGAAATATTCTGAGTGGATTGAGTCTCCAAAACACATTTTATGAGAAAATTTCCATGAATATTAGTTGACAGCACAAGCCGTACTTAGAGTTTTGAGGAGCTTTTTCTCCTTATTTCTTATATTCTGCTATACTAGAAAAATTTTCCTAAGAAATACTTCAATAAATATATAGTTTTAAGTAAATGAAATTATTTTTAAAGCAGTAACAACAAATTATTCACCAAAAGAGAAGCTTTTTATGTCCCTCTCTGGAACGCGGCGTAAATTTAAGTTTTACGTAAGGACTTATTGAAACCTCCTTGGAGACAGTAAACTTTTATACGGATAGTTCATTCAGCTTGAATACTTCAATTAATCATTTATTATAACATTTCTATCATAAATGAGTGAAAGTTACCCCAAAATTTTTATTTATTGGCCTAAAAAGTAGAAATTTTGAGGAAATGAGAGGTATAAATGGACTAAAAGAGATCTTATAAGGAAGACAAAGAGGTCCATTAGTAGTATTTATCATCCTAAAGTCATCTTTTGTATCATATTCAACTGTTTGTAGGCAGATGAGATAAATATTTGATCATTTATTGGTCCACACTATATTCTATCATGATGCGGCTTGGTTTGGATTTTTCGAAGAAATTTTGCTGGAATCGCTGTAGATGTCGTCTTACATTATACTAGATTTTTCTCAAACAATTGAACTGATTATGACAAAACTTGACAGGAATGCTTGAAATAACCAGTATTACAAAGGAAAAAAGTCACATTCAGTATATTTAACAAAAAAGTCTTCTTAAAGAGTACCAGTATGAATTAGAATATAGCAAAGTGCTCTCGACCAGTGAAAGTGTATAATTTGGTGTTCCTTAATTGTGAAGAATGAATGTAAATCATGTTCTTGGTTAGGGATTATCCTTTTGTTTAGGCCTATTTATAGTTCAAAACAAAAAATTTCTATAAATGAGTTACAACTGCCTGAAGCACATTTATAGGGATTATTGATTGAAGTTGAATTTTGAAACAAACAAAAATGACCAAAATAAGTTTTTGAAGTTTACTTGTGCAGTACAATTGATACCGTTTGTGTTATTATGTGAATATTTAGAACTTTCAAATTACAAAAACAATAAGCAATATCAAGAAGAAAAGGAAAAAAAACTTTTAAAATTAAATATAGCCTAAATCTTTAGCTACATGTATTACGCTTATCAAAACTCAGATTCCTGTATTCGCAGTTAGTAGGCATAGTCATTTCCAAAATACCGGTACATACAGGAAATTGAATTTACTTTTGAATTTCCTATAAAAAGCAATTTCTTTCAACATTTAAATTTTAGTTAATTAAGTAGACTAACTATTAAAAGTAAAGAGCTGAAATAAAATTGGCTGTGGTATACAATTTAGTTGTAACTCTGATTTTGAATCTATTACATTGAACTGTAAATAAAGTAAAAGATAATTCCTCACTTAAATATTGCACAATTTATACTCATACTTACAATGAGGAAACTTATACAATTTCATTGTAACTTTGTGTCATCTAATGTCTAAAACACAATTCATTACAATTTCCCAAATTAAAAGTAAGTCCTTACATCACTAAGACCAATACATAAATGAAATGTCTAAAAGGGAATTCATTCATTAATTATAAACATTGCACTGACAATGAAACAAATTCTTGAATAAAACCTATCAAGAGATTATCTGAGCCTTGAGCAGTTTACAATATTCTAAGTTTGTAAGAGAATGATAATCCATTTCATCATGATAAGTACTCGCTAACGCTCATATTTAATCATGAAGAAAGAGGTTATCATTCTCTTACATATACATAGTTTTTCTTTAGTGATACAATTGTAATCATTTGACTTTTCACGTTTTATCTCTTGTATAAAAGCTATAATATTGGTGTGGGTATGCACATATCATGTGACTCATTATTGAAAATTATTTTTAAGATATGTGGAAAAATCTTGAATTTTATAACATATTTGTAGCAATATTATAGTTTGAATAAAAGGAGATAAATAAATAGTATACAAAATTATCATTCCTGTGTGGTAATAAAAGAAGGAAACGCGGAGAAGTTATGTCAAAACACTGTATCTAAAAACCAATTATTTGATGAATGGTTTCAGACACAGGTATATGTTAATTAACCATTTTACTTAAATAGGTTTCACAAGAAAATCCGACGTTGATCCAAAATATCTGATTCCATTGTTTGACAGAATTTTCTGCTGCCTGCCATCTTCTTTCCGTCATTGGTTAAGGTGTTATATAGACTTTCCGGATCCAGAGGTAAGACTTAAATAATTTAAACCTTTGTACAAAGGTACGGAGTGTTTGCTGTATCATGGATTAAGCTAGCATGACGCAAAAATTTTGACTGCATCTTGAATACCCATACTGTAATTTAATATCTTCCCAATTCTATATCTCATTTATGGCAATTGAATTTTAGCCACATTATATGGCAACTAATCGGAACAAATTTGTTAGGTGATTGTTTAAAGACGGCGTGAATAACGAATGAAATTAATAGTTTCGCACCGTGATGTGAAGCAATAAAGAAAACCAACCCGGACGATACATATATGTTCAATGCGCGTAAGCCGATCTTTTCTTTTCTGACGCTGAAAGTGTTTTGAGTCTATACCATGACAATAACCTTGTTCATGTTGTTATCAACTGTCGAAAATTGTCATTTAGATATTCATAGTCGCAAAATATAAAAACATCGATGACATTTTGTTAAATGCGAGTTCTGCAATTCGAAAGTAAAGTGAACATAAAAATATAGCATGCATCTCTTAATATGATAATGTTTCTTGAACATTTTCTTCGGAGACTATTCGAGATAAAACGACAGGAAGGCAAACACTATATGTGTTTCAGCATCAAAACGATAAGGCCTAGAAGGAACGGAGCATAGTGGATAGACAAGGACTTGATAGTCTTTTTTTATGAGTTTCCGTTTCAATATATATATATATACGAGAGTGATAACTGAGAAACCATAACAAACACCCGCATTTGAGTAGCAGAACCTTGAAACATGTTTACACGTCAGATTCATGAGAGCAACATATATTTTAAAAAGTAGGCATCATACACCCACTAAATTCTGTTTTATCTAAACAATTTTCGGGACATCATAACCTGAATAATTCACTCTACAGTCAAGGTTCACTATTATTATTCAAATGAGCTCTAACCCTAAATCTATTTTCGTATGTCAGCTTTATACCTCCTGAATACTGTATATTAAACTAGTTATAAAATGACACAGTAACTGGGTCAAGAGGCAGATAAAATGTTTACCAAATTCAAAATGTAATTAAAAAAAGCCATAAATGTGGCACACAAATTATTTGCTACTGAAATTTAAAGCTACAACAATTAAGAGATCTCCAGAAACGTATTTACTTATATTGATATTAATAATGTATTCTAAAGGATATAAAAGAAGAAGAAAAGAAAGAAGAATTTACTGTTGACAAGGAAGGCAACCTATACAAGGAAGAACAACCATCGATTATTGGATCGATGAAAAACGGCGATATCATCGACTACAATATCGGACGATATTCTAAACTGAATAAACCTTTTGATAATGGAGCACCGCCATCTTATGGAACATTGGAACATAACAATTTGGCCTCTACAGATGAATCTCATACAAGAATATGAACACCGGTAGAACATATTACTGTAACTATAAGAGCCAGAAAATAAATTAGAAAACAATATAAGTGAATATCTTTATAATCTTTTTAAATTATTAAAATGGTGTATTCGAACTATGGTAGGCAAACTGGTTTCTTTATACAATATGATTTATGTAGTATGTAATTAGTTCAGATTGGGAAGTTTTCTGCTAGTCATGTACGCGTGTACGCTTAATCATGGCTATTGTTTTATGGGTGAATAGATAATCAGATAGTCCGAGGTTGAATGTTGAAAAGACACGATAAACTTCGTTGTCCAAATGATTTGTGTAAACACATAATTTCTCTTTAAACAAGAAAGGTAGTAATTATAGAAACGCCACGCTGTTGTAAAAGCTGTTTAAAACAATTAATATTGTTAACTTGTATCATCGAGATCACTAAGGTGAATTTGTCTTTTATCGCAATAGTAAAGAATTTCTTGTCAACTATTGTATTATATAGGGAAATTCTGTTTAACACTTACAGAATATTCTGTAAAGATATTTCCGGAAAAAACAAACTAGACTTTTTCAGAATTTTTAAACTGAATGCATTTATAACTATAGATAACAAACAAAAAATTGAAAATCAATATTCAAATTTTGCATTTTCGCCTTCCAAAAATAAAAGTCTATATCGTTAAGGATGTTTGACAAAAACTAAACGGGACAACTTCTCTTTTAGTGGTACATTTTCATAAACAAACTAATTGATGAGACGTTTTTACATTGATATTGCACCAAATAAAATGGAAACATTTTATTACAAGTACAATGTAAGACGTGCACTTTTTAACAGCACGATGTAATTTTGTTTTTCAAACACACTGTACGGGTTGATGATAAAAAGTGTTACATGTATTTTCATTTTATACTGCTGGGTCGATACTTGTAGTCATCAGTTCTTCGGAAATGACATGGTTTATAACATACTTTTATAAAATTCCCAGGTCATAAATAAAAAAATTATTAGTAAACTGAAATTCTAATACCTTCAGGCATTTGCCTTAGCTGAGTCTGTTTTTTTTTTTTTTTTCATATAGTTTTCAACGTTTCTACGTATTTACCGTTGTTTTTATACATTTTGATGATAAAGTAGTGGACTCAAAATATGCATGAATGTAAAATGTGTACCCGATATACTCTTTCGGGATTAGGTTATTATCATTTTAAGTATTTTTACAAAACTGTTTTCGCAAGATTTTGTTCATTTGTCTAACTGATTGTTAACATTATGTTCTTTTCTAAAATATGATAAAAAGTATAGCTTGGTCACCGATGTCAGTTCTAAGATTATACAAAAATTCATTTTAAAGGAAAGATGTAGAATTAAAAGAATTGGTACAAAATAAAGATAAAAAGTTTGGGACTACATACTTTTTCTGCTATGTAACATATAGATAAATTTTCTGTTCACTTTTTTTTATAAATATTTATTCCCGGTTATCTCCACTTACAAAGCAAATTAATCCAACAGTTTCATGTTCTGTATTTCCAACAAAAAAACTTTTTTTTTCAGCGATTGCAAGTAATTTTTTTAGTTTGATCACGCTTAAGGGATGAACAAAAATTAATACTGAACAACCTATACTGATGGTTCCATTTAGAAAAAATAACGTTAATTTCACGATATTTCCGAATTCCTTAACAAGAATTAGAGTTTCTCTAATTTTTTGACCATTTTCACCTTTCCCAACCGATTGTGAAAAAAATTTTCTCCTCACTAGTGAAAAAACTGTTCTCGGCAGCTGATTGGTCAATATTTCTGCCGGGACTACTTTTTCTCCAACTGCATGAAATATGTGGTGCGCCTTGTTTGGAGGGACTTCCCGGAACAGAACATTCTGCCTTCGAACTTTTCGGATTTAACCTACTTTATACTCGTATAACTCCTTGGTTACGTGTAAACAAAATCGCGATATCATCGTCTGCTAAATAATTAAATAATAAAAAGATGTCCCTGAACGAAGTTCTGGAAGGGAGAAAAAGAGTAAGACTTATCTCGGGTGAAGAGGGTGTTATATTAGCGGAAAATGGAAACTTTGGTTTCCCGTTATGGGAATAAACTAAACCAGATACAGATTCAACGTTCTAACTGATCCTGAGGTACCAAAAGAACCAGTATTTTCTTCCTCTCCGCCTACAGTAACAGAAGAACTTATGCAACTTTTTCAATTTCAAATGTATGACTCCGATGATTTCAGTCCTACCAGATCTCCCCCCTCCTCCACCAAACCCTCCACAAACACATCAATCTGAAATACCCAGGGCAAGAAAAGATACCACAAAATGTATCAGACAGTTTGTCCCCATTGATGAAGAAGAAGTTGATAATTTTATTGCAAATCAGGAAAATAGGGGTACAGTGAAAAAAAACTACATCAGATCTTCGCACACTTATGCAGTTCTTGGAGAAAAAAAAATGAAAAAAAGAGAAATACATAACATTCCAGCAAAAGAACTGAACAACTTACTCAGCCAATTTTTCATATCAGCTAGGAAAAGTGATGGAGAAAACTATGAACCAGCAACATTAACAGGTCAGTTCTGTAGTTTCAAGAGATTCCTAAAGCGCCATGATTATGGACATGATCTCACAAAGACTAGAGATGCTTTAACAGCTAAACAGGTAGACTTGAAAAAATGGGTAAGGGAAACGGATTTGGCAAGGCAGATGTATTAACTGATGCAGATATTGATGCCTTGTTCAGCAGTGGACAGCTGGGATTATCCAATCTATCTGCATTGCTTCATACAGTTTGGTTCTGTAATATTGTTTACTTCGGGCTTCGTGGTGTAACAGAACACTATCAGATGAGGTGGGGGGGGGGGATGTAAAATTTTGTAAAGATCACCTTGGCAATGAATATTTACAAATGAATGAGAGAAACACAAAAACAAGGAAAGGAACAGATGTGAAAAATAAAAGGAAAATACCTCAGAGGGCTTGGGCCAATTTAAATGACCAGTCAAGATGTCCCGTTGAGGCCAACAAGTTGTACAAATCCAAGCGTCCTTCAAATTTTTCCAAAGATGAGGATCCATTCTACATTCAAGAACAAGTCCATACGTTGGTACAAAAGTCAGATAGTGGGTGTAAATAAATTGGGCAAGTTCATGAAGATTATGGCAGAAAAATCAGGTACAAAATAATCAATACACAAATACAAGTTATAGGTGGTAATACTTTTCTTTCTCCAACTCTAATATGAAACAATATTTCTACCCGAGACATTTGAAATTTCTCATTAGAGGCATGAGGCTTGCAGAGTGCCTTGTAATGAGAAAATGCAACTGTCGAGTGTGTAGAAGATTTTTTTCTCAAGCTTGTAGAAAAGGTTACAAGAAATTCATTTTCAGATTCTTATCTTGGACCTTCATAAAATGTGGGACGGGAGTCACTGGATGGAAGAGTTTATAGTTAATAAAAATGAAATTTGGGGTCAAATTAAAAAAACCTAGTTTCTCAACCCTATCTGCACCCCTAAAAAAATGCTTTTGGTTTTTTGCCAATTTTTGATGAATAACTTTAAATTTTACAGCATTTTTCACTTAAATTGATAAAAAAAAAAAACAATGAGCAATTTCTCGTACATACAAAAACATTTACCTCATGAATTAACAAAATATCATTGCACAAGTCAACTTATGATGTGGTGGTACAACTAAAGGATCATGTCTCGTCTTTTGAATGATTCTCGTCACTACGCATCGCTAGCTGACTCGTAATGATACATTCTCATTCCACAGAATCAAAATGATACAAAACTGGTACTATCACACCATGTACATGTATAAACAATATTAAAATGTAAAAATATTTATCAAATTGAGCTAGTTAATAAACAAGTCTTGTTAGGTTTCTAAACTTTCAAAATCAACTAAACAAAATTTGATAAATAACCAACCAAAAAGAGTTGTGAAATATAGTTTGTTTCCGTTGCAAATCACAATCTTTATTGAAAATAAAAATTATAAGTCAAAACCAGGTGAACTAAAATGATGATTTCTGTTTGTAGTACTAGGGATTATAAAAGAAGTTGGAAACAGGGATGAAAATGATGATCAAGATGAGGGAGCAGAAAGGCATCTCACTAATCATTCTGCACGACGTTTCATGCTCCAGAAGCTGGATGATGCAGGAGTTGAGTATAATCATATTAAGCAGGTCATAAATTTATTCCAATTATCATAATCAAAAATAATGTATTGTTCTATATGAATGGGCCTGCAAAGAGCATGACAAAACATGTAAAATTACAGAGATGTAAATACTTTTTTTATTTATATGTAGCAGAAGATATAATTCGTGGGCATTTCAAATTATCATCATTTCATTACGGGCTGGCCCTTTATGCAATTTATTTTAACAAGCTATCATGTGTGGTTAGATAATGGCATTAACAACCAATTGCAACCCTGTGGTAAAATAAAGATACAATGGCACCCATAAAATAATTTGATTCTCACAGGACAAAGTGATCTAGGTATTTGTGGATGACCTGCCATTACACACCACAATTTCATCACTGTCATCACAAAAATAGATGATGTTTTTGAAAATGGAAATTAAAATCGATCATGTACACTACACAAACTGCATAATTATTTTTTTTATGAATGTAATATTCCATTACTGTATTCTCTGGAAAAAAACAAAAATAGACCAATGTTCCCGGAAAATCTTACATATGTAGAGAAAAAAAAACTTATAAGTGAGCATCACAAAGTGGAAGAATATATTGAAGAGGGATAGGAGGTCAATCTCTGGGGTGGTCTCGTCCCTGAATCCCAAGTTTAATTGTTATCCATCCTAATTTCTCGTTCATCTTTTTGGACAGCTAATCCATAAGTCCAATTTGACAAATATATATGATCAGATCATATGTTTTCGTACTTCATATGTTAACGTACTATGCATGCTTTTTAAATGGAAATCGTGACGTCAGAATGCATTCTTAATAGAACGAAAACCCATGAGACGAAGATAAGATTCAGTCCCATATCCAAGAACTTGAAAATGTCCAATCATGAAGTCCCAAAACATAAAAAAAATTCTTGTCATGTGTGCTATGTGTACGATAATGACATTTTATTGTGTATGTGCTTTTAGTATGTTTTCTCACGAAGAAGTTTTAGATTTTAAATCGTGGGCTTCGTAAATTAATTTTGTTTTTGTTTCATTTACAGATATCCGGTCACAGAAACATTCAAAGTATATCAAGTTACTCGAAGCTAAATCCCAATAAACACAAAAAAAAAAGCTAGTTGCATTCTCGGTAGCTGCGAGGACAGAATCCAGGCATCACAAACATTAGTGACGATAGACAATAA